TCATGCTTTTTTTACTAGTTCCAGCTGGAATCTGAACTCTAAAAAATTGGGGTTCCGGCTGGAACTAACCGGCCGGAACCCAGTTCTGGTGCACCCCTAGATCACATGGTTCTACAATCCTGGTCAAAAATATTGGCGCACTTGATTGGGGGATAGGGGGATGTCTTGGATAAAATGCAGAAGTATGCATATGGTAATCAGAAATGAAGTAAAGGTTATGCTATTTTGACTAAGTGCGCCAAGGATTTTTGACCAGGATTGTCTGATTGTGCATTATCTTACATTTTTATTTCATAAAAAAACCATTGGCCTTAATCCTTGAATGGTTAGTGAACCTTTAATAATATTTTGCATGTTAATAACACGCGTCTAAATAAATAATAAACATTTATAATATAATAATAATAAAATATATAATAATAATGACATATTAAGGGTGCGCTATTTCATAAATATATCCCTTTTAGAGTGTCAACTTTAATCTTACTTAAGCTGACAAACATTATGGACGTGTGCACATTTTGAAAAGTATTTAAGCTGTAATTTGTGGTCTTGTATACATGTTACATTTAACGACTGAACTGCTTATTTGAACACATTCGCAGAGCGAATATAATGGCATCACTGGGTGTTCGACAACAAAAAATTGTTTATCTCATAACTTACAGGAGAATTGATTTTACTAAAATTGCTTTTAAAGATAAATTTGCTGAGGGTGTCATAGAAAGCTGGGGAAAATGTGGAATAAAATTAGCTTTTTGGGTTGTCACAATGGAGAAGCATGCAAATGCTGGCAGCAGTTCTGAAAGTAGTGAAGCGAGTGATTACCATTTTCACATGGCAATTAAGTTGCAGAGATGGGGACGGTGGTTAATGGTAAGAAATATTTTAATGATGTCCACAGACTGAAAGTCAATTTTAGTTCAAACCACAATACATACTATAGTGCATACAAGTATGTTACGATGGAAGATCCTGAGCCATTGTTTTCAGACGGGCATCCTGACATCTCGAATGATGCTCCCAGGACTGAGAAGGCAATTGCATCCCGTTGCAAGAAGGAAACCGGTGGAAAGAAAGGGAAAAGAATGAGAAAGCATAGTTCAAAAGAGAAGCATTCAGAGTCGTCTTGAGCTGGTAGCGTTAGCTGTGTCACAAAGTTGAGAAGGAAACACAGCTTTGGCAAATTTTGTGGCAAATAGAGGGCATAAGTGCATTCAAGAAGCATTGTCCTTAGCGAAAGAGTTTGCAGAAGCCAAAGAGAGATTAGCACGTTCCAAAAAAACTCACATTCAAATTTTAATCGAGTTTCAAGGTGCTAATTGCGTTCCAGATTGTGAAGGGAGATGATATACTGCTGCAGTAACGCTTATGGAACATCATGGAATTATGATTTCAGCGTTTGCCACGACAACCTACACGGTTCCGGAGAAGGGGAGGGCAAAATATCAGAATATTTATATTCACGGACCAGCAAACATGGGGAAAACCTTCATTTTGTCACCTCTGAAAGCAATTTACAATGCGTTTTGCAATCCTGCAACTGGCTCTTCTGCTTGGATCGGAGTCGATGAAGCAGAAATAATTTTTCTCAACGATCTCAGATGGGATCCAAAGATTATTGCCTGGGCTGATTTCCTTCAAGCTCTTGAATGAGATATTGTTCATTTGCCAGCCCCTAAGAACGTATGTCCCCGAGACATTGCCACAGCAGACGCACCTATCGTGCAAGTTAAGGGTGTCTCAATTGACCGAGCTAATATGGACATGATGAACGTGAGGTGGCATTTCTTTCACTCCTGGAAGCAAATTCCTAGCTCGGAACAACAGAGATTGATACCATGTGGACATTGCTTTGCTAAGTTTGTTTTAGATAACAAGTTATAAATTAAATTGCATTAGTCATTGACGTAATAACTACTTACAACTATGTTTCACACCCAGATATGCATAACATAACGTCATAGGTCCATACATCACTCCATCAAAAAATTCATTGTAAATCTATTAAATTTTAATATTTGCTAATAATATAACGATCTTTGATAATGATATTTAATGGTCAACTTATTTGCTTTGAAATAAATAAATTATAATTATATCTTGCATTATTTTGAACAGTGCTCCCCATTTTCCTAAAGAATTTGGTGAGATAGTCAAGGAATTCAAGCTAGGTTTGTGGAGTACTGATCTTAATTTAGCAATAATGACCTAAATAAAATTTTAAAATAAATGCATTTATTCAAGTAATGCCAACCACTTTGTGTATCCGTAAGCAAACATTTTTGCATCCTTGGCAAATCATTAGGAAATATCAAGGGAACACTGTTTGTAATTTTGCGTTGCTGCACCATTGGAGTCACGCTGTGAAGACGTGTAATTGTACTTTGCATTTAATCTACTTGTTGACAGCAAGCTAATTGCCTATTTGTGCAAATGGCTACACCTATTTTGATCAATACTGCCCTTACTCTGCCTTGAATTACTATATATAACAGTAAAAGATAGAACTCCTAGTATTTTATGCGATTTCCTCTTGCTTTAAGAACAGCATCTACTCGATGTGACAGGTTTGAAATAGTACGATCGATTACATCAGTTGACAGATTTCCCATGGATTTTAAAACCCGCGCTGTAAAGTCTTGGAACGTTTCGGACATTATATTATTAGCAATTGCTTCATTCTCAAGACTTTTGTTTACCAAGTGAAAGACATTTTCAATTAGATTCAGGTCAGGTGATCTTGCTGGAATCTTGTGAAATTCAGCCTCGACTTTTTCCATTGCCTTTCGCGCTGCTTTACTTGTTTGTGATGGATCATTATCCATGAGAAACAGGCGTCAACTGTTCTTTTTACGTCCGCACTTTGCACAACAAGTATTAAAATGCTTTCCAATGAACTCTGCAAAGAAATTGCCATTCATTTTCTCATAGGGAACTTTGAGAACCACACCTTTCCCATAAGCTATAGCGACAATTACGTGCAGTCTCTTTCCACCAGCTAATTCTTTAGAACCTTTTCCTGTCACCAATAGCCCTTCTGACATTTTTCTCCAAACCCTTGCTTTGGGGCAATCGCGCTGTTCAACGGATTATGTTTGAAAACAAAAGAACACCATCCAAGTAAAATGCTACTTCATCTTTCCAAAAACTCTTATTTTGGTTCATGCAACACTTCATTTGTCTTGTAATATTTTGTCTCTTTCTGTAAAAAAGATGGGAAAAACATTATGCAATAATTTTCTTTAGTTAAAGTGGAAACATTCCAAAGTGGAAACATTGTTGTTTTGTACGAATGTATGCCGAACGTTTTGAAAGCCAGTGTCTGAACACTTTTAAGACTTTTAAATCATATTTTTTTGTATATATTTTAAGTATTTTTGTTCATTAAAATTAAAAGATAAAAGTCTAATACATGGCGCCCAACGTGGGGCACTGGCTTTAGGCGAACGAGCGAGGAATCGACGTAAACGGAATATATTTTGTGGAAAATATGGTTGACCAACGCGAAGAAACTTTAAAGCGACTGCGAGCAATTCGCTCTGGGAATCGAGGGGTTGTAACGAAGTACAGCAAAGAAGCTATGGAATTGATTGGATCAGGGCACGATTCGGCGAAAGGAAGGTTGTGTACTATAGCGAGTTTGTTAGACGAAAAAACCGATCGATTGAAACAATTAGACAATGACATTTTGAAATCGTGTGACGTTGGTGACATTGAACGAGAAATCGAAGAATCCGAGGAGATTTTTTCCCGAGTAAGCGACGTACGACGCGAAATTACGAAGTTTACGAGTTGACAAAACGATAAACCGGCGAAAATACCGGCTGTAACCGAAGTAGCACAAGAAAACCCGACGATTACAACGACCCATGGAGAAATTGTTGAGGAATCGAATATTAACGACGTGTCGATAGGCGGATTATCGACAAATTTATCGCAAAATACATCGCCTGGGAAAAGTACGCCGTCATTTTCGAGATCGAAATTGCCAAAGCTCATCTTACCTAAATTTAAAGGGGACATAACGAATTATCGCACTTTTTGGGAGACGTTTGAAAGTGCAGTTCACAACAACGAGGAACTTACTACGATTGACAAGTTCAACTATTTGTTTTCTTTATTGGAGGGACAAGCTCTTCGTGCGATTAAGGGGCTTGCCATTACCGAGGACAATTACCACGCAGCAGTTGACATTTTACAAGAGTGCTTCGGGAAAACGCAGCAAATAATTGCTGCGCATATGGACGAACTATTGAAAATATCTGCTTGTGACGGTGATAAATCAAAGCAATTAAGGTTTGTTTATGACAAGGTCAGTGTGAATGTGCGTGCATTAGAAGCTTTGGGGATACAATCAGATCAGTATGGGAGCCTCCTTATCCCCGTAATTATGTCGAAGTTACCGAGTGATGTTCGCTTGCAAATAGCTAGAAAGACTGAGAAAGATGTGTGGGTAATGAAAGACTTATTGGAAATTATTAGAAGGGAAGTGGAAGCACGAGAACTGAGTGAGCAAGTCAAGGCAAATAGTGAGATCAAAAAACCTCCCCCATTTTCTCCAAAATTTCCCACGGCATCAGCTCTGACCGCCCAAGAAGCTACTGGCGTATCTATTAAGTGTGCATATTGTGGAAAGCAGCATTACTCGGCTTCATGCGAGACAGTGGTGCAATTAAGTGAACAGAAGGATATATTAAGACGAGCGGGCAGATGTTTTGTTTGTTTGCGTATTGGTCACCGTAGTAACCAGTGTTACCAACTCGTAAGTGTCGACGTTGTCAGGGAGCCCATCATCAATCGATATGTACCGAAAGTCCAAAATTTCCAGAGCACAAGAAGCCTGGGGCCGAGACCAAGCCCGATGAAAATGCACCTAAACCTGGTGGTTCAAATAGTAACACCATCACAGCCAATCAAATCTCAACAACTGCTACTCGAAGCAAGTGCAAGGTTTTCCTGCAAACCGCTACAACGTATGCATGTTCTCCAAATACTAGCTCTGTAGTACCCGTTAGAGTCTTGATGGATAGCGGCAGTCAACGAAGTTATGTAGCTGAATCATTGAAGCAGAAGTTGGGTCTTGTTCCTGATAAGACTGAGGTACTAAATCTAAATACCTTTGGTGACGACAAATTTCGAAAGCAACGATGTGACCAAGTACGACTGCGACTACAGGGTCAGACCAAGGACATTGAAATCTCGGCACTTTGCTTTCCCAAGATCTGTTCTCCACTGTCAATGACATTAGATATCGAGCGTTATCCACATCTAGATGGTTTAGTTCCGGCCGACCAAAGCATACTGGACGATTCCGCCCCGGACATTGACATTTTGATTGGCTCTGATTACTATTTTGAAGTAATTATGGGAGAAATCCGACGAGGGGACAACGGTCCTGTTGCAGTGCAAAGTGAGTTTGGCTGGCTGATCTCAGGAAATGCTCAAGCATTGAACACCGGAAATAACGAGACACAGACAAATCTCATGTTAGAACAATCAGAACATACCTACCCTGCCGATCTCTTCATGAAAGAGAACGAAGATGAATTAACGAATGCTGTTCGAAAGTTTTGGAACACAGAGTCTGTTGGAATTATCGAGCCAGATGAATCAACCGAAAGTGAATTTCTGAGAGGAGTACAATTTAATGAAGTGAGCCAACGATATCAAGTGAGTCTACCGTGGAAAGAGGGATGTCTACCGATCGAAAGTGGTTTTTCAGCTTGTCTCAGTAGATTACGACAAACTCATTTTCGTTTGAAGAAGGACCCGGAACTTTTGAAAGAGTACTCTAATGTTATTAAGCAGCAGCAAGACCTGGGAATTATCGAGCGAATTGCCGAAAAACCCGGACACGATGAATCCGCGCATTACTTACCCCATCATGCGGTTGTGCGTCGCGAAAAGAGTTCGAAGGTTCGAGTTGTGTTTGATGGGTCTGCCAAACATGCTGAATCGACATTTTCAATCAACGAATGTCTCGAAAAGGGTCCCAATTTGGTGCCTCATCTTTTCGATGTACTGGTCAAATTTCGAGGATATCCAATTGGAATTGCTGCCGATGTCGAAAAGGCTTTTCACCAGATTGAAATACATCCTGATGACCGAAAGATGCTTCGATTTTTATGGTTGGACGACATATTCAAAGAACATCCCGAGATTGTTCAATTTCAGTTTTGCCGCCTGGTGTTCGGGCTTACGCCGAGTCCGGCTATTTTGTCATCCCTTATACAGCATCATTTAGAAAAGTACGAACAGAAAGAGCCAATGGTCACCGCCTTGCTTCAAGATTCGTTTTATGTAGACGATTTTGTTGGCGGTTCTACACATGATGGTCCGGCAATTGAAATTTACGAGAAGTCGAATGAAATCATGAAAGACGGTGGTTTCGGGCTGCGAAAGTGAACATCGAACTCGAGGGTGTTCCAAGAGAGAGTTGCCGCCGAAGAAAAGCAAATCAAACCGTGTGAAGAAGCGATAAAGATTGTGAAACCCCTCGGGAGCGAGCGTACTGTCGAGATAATTGAAAAATACGTAGAATCGGGCGAAGAAAACGAAAGCGGGTTAATGCCCTCTTCAAGCAAGTTTTATCGAGATATTACAGAACCAGCCACATTGGAAGACCAGTCGGTTTCTGACCCATCAACAGAAGATGAACATTCTTCCGTTAAGATCCTAGGAATACCCTGGAACACTGAAAGCGATGAATTCGAGTATGACTTAACTAAACTGATAGACTTTGTCAAAACGCTTCCATTGACAAAGCTCTCCGTGCTACGATTATCTGCCAAGATTTTCGACCCGTTAGGTCTTCTAGCTCCGTTTACTATCGTAATGAAGTTGTTGTTTCAAGAGTTATGCATCGATGGTACGAACTGGGACGATCCGTTAGTTGGAAAGTTATTAGATTCTTGGAACCAAATTATCAACGATCTTTATGCCATGAGAACCATTAGAGTGTCACGATGTTACTTCACTTACGCAAACAACGATAGCTTGTCGTATGAACTTCACGGGTTTTGTGACGCTTCGTCCAAAGCATACACTGCGATAGTATATTTACCGACAGTACATTGCAATAAGAAAACCGAAGTTTCCCTAGTCGCATTGAAAACAAGAATCGCTCCTATTAAACGTCAGTCAATTCCGCGTCTTGAGCTCCTAGGTGCTACCATCCTCGCCCGTTTAGTAAGTTCAGTGCAAAGGGCTATTTCAGCCTTGCCCCTTGTTCCCAAAGTTTTTCTGTGGACTGATTCCCGTACTGTGTTATGTTGGATTAGAAACCACAAGGCGTGGAAACCGTACGTACAACACCGTATTAGTGAAATACGAAAGCTTACCGACATAGAATCCTGGAAGTTTTGCCCGGGAGAAAAGAATCCCGCCGACCTACCCTCCCGTGGAATTCGTGGAACAGATCTATTTGAGAATGAAACTTGGTGGAATGGAGCAGAATTTCTTCAGTTCTCTAAGGAAATGTGGCCATCTGAACCAGGAACAACCGAAATCGAGGAGAACGAGGCCAACGGTGAAATGATGAAACCAAAGACACCGCCTTCGATTACGAGATCATTGAACAGTATATCGAAAACAGTTTTACCACCGAATGTTGAAGCGGTCATTGACTGTAAACGGTACAGCAGCCGTACGAGGTTGTTACGAGTTACAGCGTGGGTAAAGCGATTCATCAACAACGTGAGAAGGCGTCGTTCAGCATCAGATCTACTCACCGCCGACGAATTGAAAACAGCAGAAAAACTCTGGATAAAATCGATCCAAGCGAGCAGTTACAAGGACGAAGAGCAATATCTGTCTCAGGTCAACAAAAAAGAGCCTCTATTAGTCAAGCAGTTGGGGTTGTTTCGAGATCAAGAAAACATTATTCGTTGCCATGGTCGAATTGGTGAATCGTCATTGTCGTTGTCAGAGAAACAGCCGATACTCCTTCCTCCGAAACACCATTTTACCGACCTGATTATCCTGGATCATCACGAGACTGTTCATCATAACGAAATCAAGGAAACCTTGAACAGCATCAGAGAGAAATATTGGATTGTAAGGGGACGGGAAGCAGTGAAACGTATAGAAAGACGATGCGTGCTCTGCAAGAAGTTGGAAGGGATGTCATTTAATATCCCCAAATTTGCACCCCTACCACCGAGTCGAGTTAGTGATGCACCCCCCTTTACAAATACCGGAGTTGATTTCGCTGGACCGCTTTTTGTCACGGATCGAGCTTCACCCGAAACTGAGAAGACAAGCAAGGTATACGTTTGTCTCTGGACCTGTGCTTCGACTAGAGCGATACATCTAGAACTGGTACCCAACTTATCTGTGCCGACGTTTTTGCAAGCATTTCGACGATTCTCCGCGCGACGGGAGTTGCCAATCAGGCTATTGTCGGACAACGCTAAGACTTTTAAGGGCGCAGCTCACGAAGTCAAAAACATTGTCCGGTCTAAAGAGATCCAGCACTATTTGGTTAACAAGGGTGTTACGTGGGATTTCATAATTGAGAAAGCGCCGTGGCAAGGGGGCTTTTGGGAACGCATGATTGGGAGCATGAAACGTTGTCTGAAGAAAGCAGTGGGACAAGCATTGTTATCATTCGAAGAAATGCGGACTGTATTAACTGAAATCGAAGCCACGTTGAACAACCGACCTTTGACCTATTTGTACGATGATGAGCAAGGTATCTCATATCCTCTTACACCCTTGTCCCTCATCTATGGTCGTACCATCGCCACCACGCCGAATGACAGGCAGTTTGAAATCAACAGCACACATCAATCTCTCACTCGAAGACAGAAATATCATAAACGCTTACTAAATGAATTCACGAACCAGTGGCGGAAAGAGTATCTTCAGAGTTTAAGGGAATCATTGAGAGCTTCGAAAGGACCTGTTGGTAACATGATTGATGTTGGAGATATTGTGGTTCTGAAGGATGACAAGTCTGCGCATGTGTTTTGGAAGTTAGCAAAGGTGGAGGAGTTGATTCGAAGTCGGGACAACGTGGTGAGAGCAGCAAAGGTTCGTGTTGTCAACAGCGATGAGGGAAGATCGATTGTGTTACGACGACCCATACAGCACCTAATACCGTTAGAGTTACCTCCTACATCCGAGAAAGAAGATCAAGTATCCAAAGTCGAAGAACTCAGGTGCATTAATGCCTGGCTCCAATTTCGTAAGGAGTGGGAAAATAGAAAAAATCTTTAAAAATTAATTAAAAATTAACAAAATACACTACGACTCTTATTTTTGGGTGAGATGTTGAAAATCAACTGCCGATATTTTTTAACTATTTGGTTTCCATGGAAACTGGTCACGTGACAAGATATAGGCAGTGATAATGGAAATTAACTTAATGTTTATAAACACGGCTTGCCGACTTACTAAACATTCATGGATATGTACAAAAATATTATCACGGAACCTTTTACTCTTATACTGCAATGTGGTAATTCGGAACTTAAACATTATGCCACAGATATGAAAATATTGCTGTGATTACAACAATGTCTCGCACAATGTCAATATAATTTGCACTAAAACGATCGTTCCAGATTACAATGCTTACAAATCTAATTGTAGCACCAAAGTTGGCTGTACTCTGGACAAAATCTACGTATTAGCGACCAACATTAACGTTGTCTTGTAAGTCGGCAAGTCCAACACGTTTTTTGCGTGATGAATTCGCGCTCGCCATTATCATTAATATAAGCCCCTGCCGTGAAATAAAATATTATGAAATACAAATACACAATGACTGATAAACCATTTACAACTAGTAAGTAGTGTATTCAAATAATATGCGAGGAACAGAGAGAAAAATGTGTACAGAAGTACAATATGATAAGTACATATTTTAGTTTATATATTGAGAGAATATTCGACAGGAGTCTGAGTCTTTATATGAAAGGATATTATATTTCAACAACAACATTTATTGTGTCCTCAAGTTTTTAAGAGAAATATGTCACACTTAAACAACACCACCCCAAAAAGTTTGAACCATCCATATGCTGAGTAGTTATTTGTATTTCAAATATTTTTCTGTGAGTGGGAAACTAAAGAGGAATCACAAATCGATGTTGAATAATTGAGACATGAAATCCCGCAATAGCGTTATATATCAAAGTTCAAAGGTCGCCGCATATCACATAATATGATATATTATACTATACAACGGCCAATTGTACAAGAAAAACTGATAATTTACACATCCCTGCTGGTTGCTATAATCTAACATAATATAAAATAATCCAACAGCTCATAGTTATTAAATTTCAGTTTCATTCGAACGGCAAAACGCAGTCAAACGGCAACACGCTGGATATGTTGAATCGCGCGCGCAACTCGCGCGGACATATCAAGTCAGCGTGGGCAGAGCCAACAAGAGCCAGGCATTAACCGGCCTGAGAAACTCAACTTGTAAAGCAACCGGATCTCGTTGTTCCAGCCTCCAGGAATGATGCAAGACCGAGAAGAAACGCTGCTATTATTGGAGAAATGTTATGAAAAGCGAATAAACATTGAACGCTATAATTTTCATATTGTGTTATTATATCATTTATGTACCATAAATGATACCCCTCGGGAGTGTAAAGAAGATAGGAAAACATTATGCAATAATTTTCTTTAGTTAAAGTGGAAACATTCCAAAGTGGAAACATTGTTGTTTTGTACGAACGTATGGCGAACGTTTTGAAAGCCAGTGTCTGAACACTTTTAAGACTTTTAAATCATATTTTTTTGTATATATTTTAAGTATTTTTGTTTATTATCATTAAAAGATAAAAGTCTAACACACTTTCCGTCACTAATCCCTTTTGGCGTACCTGATAAAACCCATAACCTTTCTCGTTCAATCTACGCGAAAATGTGCGCTGACTTGCCATTTGTAACGTGAGGCCACTTTCCCTTACAAGTGTTTTAAAAGTTACCTTCGAGTTTTCCTTCCTCGATTTTTTCAGGCATCTTATTAATTTTCTAACAGATAGCGTGTCAACTTTTCTTGGGCGACCCTTGTTGCCTTTTAACTGTTTAGATCTCAGTGCAGCTGGTTGTTGGTCTTCCCTCCATATTCTTGCTACTGATGATGGGCTTATATGACATGTTCTCACGATCTCCTTATTCGAAAAACCCGATTCCTTTCTATAATAAAGTACCAAAGCCCTTGTCTTTGCTGTGATTCTTCTTGTGTAAACCATCCTTAAATGAAACTATTTCTCAAAATGCATATTATTCAATTTTATTTTGTAGCCAGCCTCATTTTATATACACAGGATTCTCATGATTCATAGTAACACACCCCACATATGACATCATAATTATCAACATTACGACGCGCACGCTAGGTTTTCAATAACTCCCAACGAAATCATGTAGAACACGCCACCCAATATATGTAGAAAACACATAACTAATGCGTCTGTACATTCTGAGTCAAAATTATATATGTACATAAATTTTAGTTTCATTTTTATATTCGGACAATCCTGGTAAAAAATATTGGCGCACTTGACACTGACTGTGTGAAATTTGACTCCCACTTCAATAACAAGCATAGCAACCTCCCCTTTCCTCCGATCAATGTTGTTTGTTAGACGTCCAAGGTGTTACACAACATTGATTGGGGGGATAGGGGGATGTATGAACATGAAATTTTGGATAAAATGCGGAAGTATGTATATGGTAATCAGAAATGAAGTAAAGTTTATGCTATTTCAACTAAGTGTGCCAAGGATTTTTGGCCAGGATTGTAGTTTATTAAAGCCATATAGCCATGTTTGAATTAAAATTGTGCAGAAATATGTGCGTATGGCACAGATTCGCATGCTGGGGAGTGCGTAATTGGAACTGCGCAAAAATATTGTGGTTTATTCTCAATATTGAATTGTGTGAATTAATCACACAACTTTAGAAACATACATTTCTCTGCAAAAACATGTTTTTGCCACTGTTCATTTTATTCATGGCATGCATGCATGTTTGGTGAGCATGCAAAGAAGTGATCTAAACTGATCTTTCAGCATGTTGTCTTAAAATTGTAAAGATAAGATTCGTTTGCATGATATACAGGCACTGTAATAGTATTTAAAAAAGCATGCGGAAATGCACATAATGATATGATTGCGAGAGATGTTTGCAAATTAATGCCTGCAGCTGGGTAACTCCTTGATGAAGTGATACATGCATGCATGCATGCACGCCGCATGCATGCACGCGCACACAGCACTAAGATTATATGCATGCACGACCATACATTATATACATGCACGACCATACATTATATGCATGCATTAACCCCACTGAAAATCTAAGTATAATCATTTTAAAATTATTTTAAACGATCATTACAGGATCAGAACTTTCCTGCCATAGTTCCGCCAGAATATAGTGATGCCAACCTTCGTTGGAGTTTCTCCGTGGTGAGAATAGCGCATCTCATGCACAAGTTAATACAAAAGAAGGTGAAACGAATTCCACCTCCCAGCAACTCAAGCAAGATCATTTCGTCCTGGGTGACAGGTTTCATTCAGCTTCAGATCCACACTATGCCAATACCACAACATTGATTTGTGTATTCAGGCTCCAACAATCAAAACCAGCATTCAGGAGTCTCAAAATCACAGAAAGAACATAAGGTGTTTAAGAAGTTCCTGCATGCAGAGCTTTGAAGTGCACATAGTATACAATTTTTTGATGGACTATTATCAGAACAAAGAAATTGTATATAGACAAAAGAGGACTTTAGAGACATCATTAGTGAAGGGAGAGATAGTAACCTAAGTTTCATAATTCCATGATCGCGCACGACTATATGCATGCTACTGGCTGGATTCAATTACTGTATATATAATGCTACATTTACCAGCCAACTCAAAAAAGGTTTTCCTACAAAAAAATATTCAAAGCTTTAAACATTGAGCATGCAAAGGATGGGATTTTTAGATTACTCTTGGGAAATTTGCCTGGTGAAAGAGCTATAGAGTATGTGTAATAAACAATTGCATGTAAATAGGGTCTGGAGACAATTTAAGTAGTTACCATGCAAGTAAATCCAATGCTCCAAATAACCCATATTAATATTTCTATCGATATATCTGTTCCTATATGCTCAGTGTTAAAAGGACATGCAATCTTTTTGTGAATTGACAGTATATATTAATGTACCATACCCAATATGATGTTTCATGACATAGTTGGCTACTAAGACCAGAATGCTTTGCTACTGTCTTGGTTAGAAACCCAGAAAATACTGGAAAAGCATACTGGTCTAAGGGAGTGGTCATTATTTATGGGGTGGTAGGGGGTGGATGATTTTGAGGCATGGTTACAAAATTTTGAAAGTTGGTGAAGGAAGGGTTATGTTGATTCTTGACTTGAAGAAGGAGGGGTCACTAGAAAACCAGTCTTAAAATAGTTTTGATAAATAATTAAAAACAAAACAAAATAATTAATCAAAAAATCATAAACAAACTTAACCAATCGAAATAATACACTGTAGATAATGAATATATTGTGTTATTACATGCAAAGCTGTATAAAATAAACAACTTTAGTCTCATCCCTTATATTATATTTATAAAACTCTAGCATGCCAAAATAATAACATTGGTCTTATTTAAATAAATGATTACAAAGCCCAGTCGAATTGTAATCAAGGTGGTTGGTAATGATACATCCCAGGTCTTTTTCTTTTCTAATGTGGACCAGCGTCGTATTTCCAAGATGGTAATCAAAACATAGTGGATTGCTTTTTCGGGTTACTGTCAATACCTTGCACTTTGATGCGTTAAAACTAATGTTGTTGTTATGGCTCCATATACTCAGATGATTCAGGGATTGTTGCAAGCTTTCACAGCTACCAAGACAGGATATGCTCTTGTAAAGTTTCGAATCATCAGCATACAGTGCTGTCTGTGACATATCAGACACAACATTAGGGAAATCATTGATAAAGATAATGAAAAGTATAGGACCAAGTAAACTTCCTTGAGGAACGCCAGATGTTACAGTCGCCCAATCGGATGCTAGACCATCTACAACGACTCTTTGAACACGGCCGTGCAGGTAGTCAGTGAACCAATTTAACAAGTTTCCATTTACCCCATATGATTTTAGTTTGGTAAGGAGAATATCATGGTCAACGGAGTCGAATGCTTTGGCGAAGTCCAAATATAGAATGTCTGTTTGGATGTTCTTGTCCAAGCTCCTGCCGATAGCGTGGAAAACAGACAGAAGTTGTGTCACACACGATCGGTTTCTGATGAAGCCATGTTGTTCATCAGCAATTAGATGGGATATATGGTTGTACAGATTGCTGCATACAGAGCGTTCGAGAATCTTGCTAACAATCGACAACAGCGAGATAGGACAAAAGTTCCATTAAATGTAAATGCGGCAGCATGGCGGCCGCAATTTTTCGCTTGCTGTGTATTTTAGTCTTTTTGAGATTTTTAATGGCAGAAAGATGCTGTTTTAAAATAAACCGTACTTCTACAATCCTGTGTTTTGGAATATCTGGATATCTAACTGAATCTGGTTTGTCTTGGTTGGAAGGAAAGCAAATTCCTGTTTTCCCTTTCAAGTTTCGAGTCATATTAACTGTTGTGCAATGTGCATCGGTATTTAAACAGAGAAAGCCGCTTATGAAGGAAACAAAACGTGGTTGTATGTGTTTTGCGTTACCGGATAAACCATTCCACTTTGATATTACAGTAACCCGGGTCCTCGATTAGAAATTTTGGGAAAGAAACATGTTAATTCTCAAGCTTTAGAGTCCCGCTCGACATGCTTCGACGCTCTGGATTTGCCAGTGAAAATTAAGTATTCAAGAACGGTTTTATTTGGCTTTAAGAATTCCAACCAGTGTGTTTGTATTGATTGTTGGTTATTATCCCGATTGAAATGTCTTGGTATAAGAAGAAGACGTCGTTCAAGAGGGGGAAAGAAGCTTTATAAGCCATCGACGACATCAACATCGTGTATTCAACCTGTTACTTCCAACTGTAGATGTTCTGCTCATTTGTATTCAAAGCCCAACGGTGTCAATTACTCTAACTTAATTAACCTTCAACCAAATGCAAATCGAACTTCTCACATTGTACCAAATAAGAAACTCAACTTTATATCAAGTGTAATCAATGCAAGGTCTGTTTGCAATAAGACTCTACTAATTAAAGACCTTGTTGTAGACAAAAGAATTGATCTTTTGGGCATTACTGAAACTTGGCTACATCAGGAAGGCGATGATTCAATTATTGGTGACCTTTGCCCAACAGGTTACAAGTTCATTCATGTACCAAGGAGCAATGGGACTGGTGGTGGTGTAGGGCTCTTGTATAGACAAAGTGTCAGGGCGAGATTGAGATCTTGTGAACATTCTTTCCGATCATTTGAATATTTGGATGCTAGTTTCATAAATGTTGCAAATGTTAGAGTAATTGTTATATATCGCCCGCCGGCTGTTGGACTATCACCCGAAATTTTCCTGGATGATTTTTCAACATTATTGGAAGAACTTATTGTATGCTCTGAAGAATTGTTAATCATGGGAGACTTTAATCTCCACATAGATGATATTGAGAATACTCAAGCTGTTCGTTTTATTGGTCTCTTGGACTCGTTTGGTTTGCAACAACACGTAGTGTCACCTACGCACGGAGGAGGTCACATTTTGGATCTTGTGATTACAAGAGACGATTGTGTGGCTTTGGAAGTGAGCAATATTTGTGTTCTGGAGCAGACTGTCTCTGACCATAAGCCGATATGGTTTAATCTCAATCTTGAGAAGCAATCCAATCAGCGGAAAGCTGTTGTGAGTAGGCGACTTAAGAACTTTGATTGTGAATCGTTTAATATCAGAATTTACTTCATCTGGATTGTTGAATATGGATGACGACACAAGTCTTTCGGTGCTGGTAAATAACTATCATACCGTTCTGTGTGGTATCCTGGATGAACTTGCACCAGTAAAAACTCGATCAATCATTGTTCATCCAAATGCATTATGGTATAATGACGAGATTGCAGATGCGAAAAAGAAACGACGAAGGCTTGAACGTAAGTGGCGTTCAAATGGACTTGATTGCAATAGAGCAAACGATCTAGCTCAGTGTGATGTTGTTAACAAAATGCTACAGAGAAGAATACTACTCAACCATCATACGTGATAACGCACACGATCAGAGAGTACTTTTTAAAACAGTGGGGAAGTTGTTCCAAAAAGCTCGGATAGACGTTATCCTTTGGCAAATAGTGATCGCGAGCTCGCTGATGCATTTGCTGATTATTTTGTCACTAAGATTGATGGTGTTCGACAGGACGTATTAGCCAGAAAGAACATGGCTGGGAACTCCCCAAGTGAAATTGACGAAGTTACTTGTACTTCGAATTTTAGCTCCTTCGATATGTTAACTGAAGAAGATGTTGTGAACTTGATTGATGAGACGACCATTAAATCTTGCAGTCTTGATCCTGTTCCAGCGATTATCATGAAGAAATGTTACATGACCTTAGTCCCACTGTTTAGAAGAATCATAAATTTGTCCTTGTCACTGGGGCAATGCCTGAGGATCTGAAGATTGCGATCCTATCACCCCTGTTAAAAAAGTCCAACATTGATTTTGAAAGTTTTACCAATTTTCGACCAGTTTCAAACTTGAAATTTTTATCTAAACTCATCGAGAAAAGTGTTTCGGGGCAGTTGAATAATTACCTTGTAGAGAATGATCTTCATGAGCAATATCAGTCTGCATATAAAGCTTTCCATAGTACAGAGACGGCGTTAGTAAAGATTACCAATGACATTTTATTATCTTTGGATAGAGGTGAGCATGTTTTTCTTCTATTGTTGGATCTATCAGCAGCGTTTGATACTGTCAGTCACTCCTTGCTGTTATCACGGATGGAGAAACGGTTTGGCATTAGTGGAATTGTGCTAAAGTGGTTTGAATCTTACCTATCTAATAGGAGCCAGTTTGTGAATATTAATGGTACGAGATCTGCAACTCATGACGTAAACATTGGAGTTCCTCAGGGTTCAGTCTTGGGCCCTTTATTGTATCTTATCTACACTTCACCCCTGGCAGAAATTATCAACAGATATAACCTGAAGTATCATTTGTTTGCAGATGATACACAGATCTATATCTCCTTTAATACCACAGACGTTGCTACATCCAAACAACGCGTTGAGGACTGTGTAGCTGAAATTTGTCATTGGATGAATAGTAATGAGCTTAAACTCAATCATGATAAAACTGAAATTATGTTGATACATTCAAGGTACCTTAATAAACCACCTGTTGATGATTTTAACATTGAACTTGAGAAAGTGCCTATTACTGCTGCATTAGTTAAAAGTTTGGGTGTTGGTTTCGATGAGCACATGATGTTTGATAGCTATGTTGCTGATAAATGTAAATCTTCCTTTTACCATCTGAGGAGCTTGTCGAGGATCCGCAAATATCTGACGAGAGAGACTGCTGCAATTGTTGTACACGCTTTTGTTACATCGAAGCTAGACTACTGCAACTCTCTTCTCTTTGGCTTACCGAAGTACCAAATGAAGAGGTTACAGTATGTTCAAAATACAGCCGCTGGAATTGTTTGTCGGATTGGTATATATGAACATATCACTCCAATTTTAGTGGATCTGCATTGGTTGCCAGTACATTACCGCATAGTTTTTAAAATTTTGTTGTTAGTTTATAAAACAATTAATGGCATGAGTCCAAGGTATCTGACTGATCTACTACAGTTTCGTTGATCCTCAAGATCACTACGATCTGTATCGAATGAACTCTTAAGTCAACCGAGAACTATTACGAAGACATATGGTGATAAAGCTTTTTCAGTTTGTGCACCTAGACTTTGGAATATTTTACCATTGGATATTCGCAAGTCATCTAGTGTTTACGCTTTTAAGAAGTCAGTTAAACCTCATCTTTTTTCAAAATTTGTTAGTAGCAAATCTTTATTTATGTAGATAACTTTAGGTACCTTACTTTGTTTGTATATAGTAGTTTTATTCTAAATCATGTAAAGCGCCTTGAACAGCTTTGGATTTGTGCGCTATATAAATAAAGTTTATTATTATTATTCTCAGCTACTTCTTTTGACTCCTTCTTATGAACAGGTGTGATGTTCGCAGTCTTCCATTCTATGGGTACTCTGCCACAGTTCAGAGAATGATTGAATAACGCACACAAACTTGGTCCAATTTGTTCACTACATTCCTTTAATAGGCGAGGGTGAATTCCGTCAGGGCCATGTGCCTTGGTTACATCTAAATTGCGTAAATTGTTCACGACTTCTTCCACACTAACAGTAATATTGGACAACTCTACATGAGTTTTAGGTGGAGTGTCGTCGTAATCATCGTTCTCCGAGCGTTTGTTCAACCGTGAAGTTTGAAAAACAGACGCAAAGTATGTGTTAAAAAGTTCTGCTTTTTCGCGTGGGGTTTTCGCCGTGATGCCGTTATATGTTATGCGAGTATTTTGATCTGTTCAATTGTGAAGCATAGCTTTATGATAAAACCAAAATGTTTTAGGATTGGAACAGAACGATGATTCAATCTTATGAAGATATTCACGGTGCTTTCGCCTGATTAATTTTTTAACGTTTTGACTGATTGTTCGTAGTTTCAATTTCCGAGAATCTGACTTATCCAAACGGTACTTTCTCAGTGCTGTATATTTCTTTCGAATGAGATATCGAACCGCACAGTCAATCCATGGTGGAGAATTTTTATTGGTTATCGTCTTAACAGGGACAAATTGATCAATGGCTGCTTGAAAATTACTTTTCCATTGCATCCAACACTTGTCAATATTTTCTGTGAGATCCATTTCAATCGGTGTTCTCTGTAGGAACGTTCGAAGTTCTTGAAATCTTCCATGATTGAAATCATAAACATTAAGTCGGATACGACGAGCTCGACAGAAAGTTTGTGTAATTGAGAACTCGACTGGAAAATGATCACTGGGGAAATCACAATGATCCAGCGTCCTAATATCTCGGATTAGTTCAGGTTGGTTACATAGTAGCAAATCCAATTTATTTCCCCCGAGGTGCGTAGATCCTGTGATATGCTGTTGAAGAAAATTGTCATTGAACAGTTCACAGAAAAGCTCATTTTCCATATGTCCTCTTGAGCTCATTGGTATTGTGTGATCCTCAGACCATGTCACGCCAGGAAGATTAAAGTCTCCTACAACTACAACGCCATCATTTTCTGACTTACTTTGGAGTGAATCATTCAGTTTGTGCAAGGCATCGGGTGCAACGTTAGGTGGACGGTAGAAGGTGTACAGGGTCACCGGTTTACTGTTCGTTTGTTTAAGTTGTATAACGACAAGCTCACAGTTTGGTCTTTCAAGATCTGGGCGGTACGATGCTTCCAAGTCTGACTTAATGCCGACTAAAACGCCACCACCAATCTTGTTCGCTCGATCTTTGCGAAATATGTTGTAACCAGGTAGTATTTCACTGTCGGGAATGCTTTCGTTCAACCAGATCTCGCATATACACACCACATCATAACCGCCGCCATGAACTAGTTGTTGCAAAAGTGTTATCTTGCATACCTTGAGTGAGGTTTCGTCAAGAGGTATAAAAGCTTTCAGACTCCTTGAATTAAGATAGAGAACTTTTAAACTGTGCGTAATTTGGTGGTCCGGTCCTGGATTAGATGCAACATCCATACATATTGTTAAGTCTACAACTGGATTGGAGTTGGGTGAGGACAGACAAAGGTAGCCGTGTTTTGCCCACGTAAACTGAGCGAAATTCATGGAGTTTCTGAATTTAAATTTAAATTGAAAACGAGTGAAGGACATCGGGATCATTTCTTGCCAAACGTACCTTTCTTTTAATGTACGTCGTTCATTGCAGATTCCAGGAGCAGTTGTGGATCTTTCTTCGAATCGCACAAGTTTAGCTTCTGATCTATTAGGCAACCAAATTATTGAAATGAACATAAGAATCCCAATGACAACTTTTGACAATTTACCGCGATATTTACAGTTGAAAACAACCATTTCGCAAATCATTTACGCGCGAAAATGACAACAACTCCAAGAATTGCGCGAATTCGTCAATAGAAAATTTTTTTTCACGTCAGCAGACAGTCTGGCGTATCATGCTTGCGTGTGCGTAATGTCAACAGAATTTATTTCAATTGCAATTAAAAACACCAAAACCACGACACTTCGAGCCTTGTTAAGACAAGTAAGGAATACAGAAACTGTTCGCAAAACTCACAAAAATATCTACTGTAACCTTATCTTCCACTTTCCGGAAACTGATTAACCAAATGAAAGAACTTCCAAAACAAAAATGACCTGACGTGAGCAGTTGCTCTCGCCAGCATATATTATTGCACATGTTCTATAGCATTCTATGTCAATTGCTGACGTCATTAGAATTTTCCATTTTAGAAAAACAATGTGCTATATCTCTTTATAAAATAGCCTTTTAAAAATACGGGCGCTGATTGGTCAAAAGCTAAAAAAAAACCTGTGTTTCTATAACTCGATAGAAACACAGGGAATTTTCACGCGGGTTGCGTGGATTGCGCAGGAGTTTAAAAGACAAAATACAAACAATATTTAATTTTGAAAAAAGTTGAAAAACGTCCCGAAACGCCGAAGAACCGTTACAAAAAAAGGCAACACTTTGCTAACTTACAAAGCGAAGACCTAAAGCACAAAGTATAATTATAATATAGCACAAATTGTATCTGTTTGACTGTTTACCAAGGTAAGATATTTTAATTTTACATTGTCTTTTTAAAAAAATATTTCCTTGCGACGTTTTTAATCATGTTTACTATAGTCTTTAATCATATTTAAACGTTGTTCACTAACTATTTAAAAACAGTGCTTTCTTTGCATGCAAGCATGTACGTTGTTGAGTGAATTACTCATTTTGTAAAGTAAGCCGGTTAAGTGCTGTCTGCTGTTTTGACAGCGATGTACTTGTTTACTTCGGTATGCTTTATAATTATTCTTTACACGAACATATATTAAGGTGGAATTAATATTTGAATGAAAACAATTTAAATCAATAAATTTATCTTTTCTATTGTTTTTATAAGGCTATTTAATAAAGGAAATAGAAAACATTTTTTCCGTGTTTCTATAGAATTTATAGAAACACTTGTGAAAGTTTGGGAGAAACTCGAAATTGCGTGGAAACACTCGCACCGAAGTGCTTGTGTTCCCACGCAATTTCTCTTTTCTCCCAAACTTTCACATGTGTTTCTATAACTCTATAGAAACACGGAAAATGTGTTCTATTTCTTAATTATTTTGTCTGGTGACCTATGTTTACATTTTGCATGCACAAAATTAAAAAATTCTGCAATGCCAAAAAAATTTTACTGAGGAATACAACATTTTCACATTTTCCAAAAAAAATGGCATTACAGAATTTTTTTTATATTTTGATAATTTTTCTTGCAAGTAAAATAATGCACAAAGGTTAGTATTAGCTAGTATAGGGGTAGGGTCATGTTTAGAATTAAGGATTATACTTGTGTATTCTGGACATGGAATTATTATACAATAATCTTAAGCTTGTTCTTCTTTCCAGTTACATTGAGTTATCGCCACATTTTGGCCAAAACACAGGCTCATTTCAACTTGCGACAGCCTTTGTGCTTAATGCTATAATCAAGAATGCTCAGAGGATTCACCAAAGTTAAAACGAGGATGAAGCTAAAGGTAATAAAAATAATTGTATCGTACTGAGAAGTTTCAATTATTACTTTCGGAAAGAAGTAGTATACGTTTCAGTGCATGGGTTATTTCTGTATTTATATATGTCAATGGCCATATGCATGCATGCATATGAAAATATTACTGAGTAAATTTTAGTTCAATTTCGATACGCATACACTAGATTATTTGTTTTTGTGTAATACAAGATTTGTTTTCATTTTTTAGTGTGAAGTTTCTTCGAAACTTCACAGTATTGTGATGACTGGGAGGAAATTCAAACTTATCAGTCAGTCAGTCAGTCATTCAGTCAGTCAGTCATACAGTAAACTTTCCGGGGGGTGTATACGATTTATTTTCGTAGTGATTTATTGTGCTTTGTCAGTACTTTGAAGGTTATTTAAGCAATTTCAGTTAACTTATTTACATATTCTGTTATCCTTTTGCCAAGTTCACAAAAATTTTGAGGAATCGCTTTTGTTATTGTATTTTTTTGTAAATTTTAGAACATTCGCTTCTCATGTTGTGTAAAGGATCTTTACCCCGGAACACCCTATTTTTTTAGTAGCGCAAATGCGCATGCGCTATCAAGCCGTAGGTCACGATGGCGTGACGATATGCTAGGAAGGAGTGACAGTGTTGTTTTCAGATGTATAAACATTTCAGACGTGAATATTGAGCAAATTTTTGAAAATCTACGCAGTATATAAATTGATCTTATGCATTACGGGCGTTCAATTAAGTGTCGATAATATTTAGACGGTATATTCATTATACAGAGCTAGGAAGGAGCTAGACCGCCTAGACAGTGCAGTCAACACTCAAGTGTATAAACATTTCAGACGTATTAAATATTGAGTCGAAAATCTTTGAGATTCTAGGCATTCAATTGAGTGCTGATATTATTTTCACGGTATACTCATTATACGGAGGTACAGTACGTACGAAGAAGCAAGACAGTGTTGTTTTCAAGTATATAAACATTTCAGACATGAATATTGAGAAAATCTTTGAGATTCTACGCAATAATATAATATATAAATTGATGTTATAATTACCGGCATTCAATTAAGTGCCAATCGATATTATTTAGACTGTGTATTCATTATACATTGTCATTGACTGTATAAGGTGCTACATCACAGAACTCAGTACAAAGAGCGAAAAATTGCATCAGATCTGCATCAGATCAATAAAGTGTAAACAACTATTAAACAGAAGCGGGTGTTTGTACAGGCGTTTACGAAGAAAATATTGCGAGACGAAAGAAATCAGTTGAGTCAGAGCTCCTTATTTAAATAAGAAAGACAAGGAGATAGCCAATGTGTTATCGCCAACGTGTTATCGCCAATCGCTTGGCTTGCCAACAAGATTTATGCAATGGAAGAAAAAAGCAAGGAGGTACATGTAGCCAACATGTACTGTCACGGACCTTGTTTACTGTCTAGCACAACGCCGTTGTCAACGGTGCAAACTCGTGTTCAGTGCAACGATAACTCTACCAGAGCTTACGAGAATCAATCTGTAGTATTCTGTACACAGAACTGTATCAAAGCTTGTCAAAACTGCTTTAAACACTGCAGCTATAACTGTGAAACTATCGAAATCTAAAGTGACATTATTCAACATATGCGAAAAGCTGAAAATAGACACAACGTAACCTTCGAAAAGTCAAAGGTCAATGAGACTTGTTATTGTGAAACATGTGACAATTAGGTTAAATGCGGAAGCGGATGGAGCGGATCCACGGAACGGATATGCGGATAAAATACGGAACGGATGAAGATAAAATGCTTCCTTTCAATGATATAACGACGTATATATATATATATCAATGATATAACGTCAGTTTCACACAATAGGCTTGTTTCAAATGTCACGCTACTCGTGTGCCGAGCGCATTAAAAGCAATAGATAATAAGATGAAATGCCTTTGGTAATTGTTTATTTCGTAGTGTAAGCCATCGATCAGCTTTTCTAGGTTGTCAGCGAACCTATATAGTTCTTGCAGTGTCTTTTTCAATTTGAAACTTCACACTATCCTTGGATCCCTAGTTTTAATATATTTTATAATTTATAATTTAATTGGCATGATATACTCCGATGTTGCTGAACGAAATGTTGGGAAATCACTGACTTTGGAAACAATTGCAAAGGCGCAAGGAATTGTTGGAGCTGGGCACCCCCTTCATTGTTCTGGAGGTGACCAAACAATAAGCGGTGTTTCAGTGTATGTTATCACTTATCGTATATAGTGTTAGTTCAAGGGCATCAAATTATTAAATTACATTCATTTTCTCTTGTAGCAAGATGTTGATGTCTGTGTTAGCAAGCACTAGTCTTGTTTGTCTGGTTAATGATCCAAACATTAACACCACCTTCAGTGATAATCAATAAGCCCGGATCTTCATCAGTGCTAATATGTGATTTGTTGGTTGTCGCTGTCATGCAGGGTTTCCTGGTAGCATGGGCGGTGCTTTTTCAAAGGTTGTGGCTTGATAACTTAGAAGAGCCAATGAACAAAGTCAGAGCATTGCCGAAGATGCTGGTACCCGAGCAGGACCAAGACAGGTGGTATAAGGCTGCATCAAGTGTTTTGTACATGTTATGCTGTTGTAAGTAACAGACATATGCACATGCGTTATAGAGCTGAATTCGTATATCATGATTGATCCAGTGATGGATTTAAATTTTGTTATATATAACTTTTATCTAGCATGTAAAGGGGAAAGTACAAAACATGGACCCCTTGTCTGGACTGGGTCCATGGACCCCGTCTATGGACCGGGTCCCCCTCCATTTTTCCAAATTTCAATATTACTGTTAAACATGATTCGTTTTCAATTTTTAAAAATATTTTAGTGGTTTTAAAGCATACGTTTGTTCTTAACAGCAAACCTCATTTACACTCCAGTGTTTTCTTCATACTAAAGTGAGGCTTGCTAACAACATATCATGACAAATCAATGCACCATGTGAATAATAATAGTGTTACTGACTTGCAAAGCTGGTCAATGATCACAGCCTATGAAATTAAAGAAACCACTGCCAGCAAAGTGTTGAAATAATAAACCACTTTCATTGATTGTGCATATTAATTAGCCTTTTTGGTTCAATATACAAAAAAGTGTTTCAATTTTGCTTCGATTAATACATTTTTGTGAGCTGTGCACTAGCTAGGTGGATGTATAAGTGTTATTTGGACAAATTAATATAACATTTTGACCCTGCAAGTAAATTTGTTTTCTCCCTGTACAGGGTTATTTATATTCAGGTGTATTCAAAATTCCTGTTAACATTCATTCATAGATGGGGCCATTGAGAAATCGCGGGTCCATGGACCTGGTCCAGACAAGGGGTCCATGAACCGGGGGTCCATGTTTTGTACTTTCCCCATGTAAAGCGTCATCAAGGCAAATCCTGTAATTAACAGAGGTGAATTAACAGTTTCTAATATTTTGTTGTATTTTTCGTTACAGTTTCCTAAAGTCACTGGAGTTCATGCAGATTTAAAAACTGCCATTGAACATATAGCCAGCTGTGGGCAACTCCGCACAGATAAGATGCTATCATTTTGGAGCATTTTGGATGTGCAATAAAGTCCAACTTGCAGAAAGAGGAAAAACTGGTAAATGCATATTGCCTTATGCATTATATTAATATTGCCTTATGCCTTATATTAGTGTATAACAAGATCGCCTTTTGCATGAAAGAGGCTCTATAGGGATCACCTTGAGGCAAATAATTAGAAAGATGTTAATAATCACAATTTATGACCTTGATGAGAATTCATATTAGATGATTTTCAAAATGTTTTAAATAATATGTCACGTTAAACTTATAAGTAAGCCAGTTTTCCACTTAAACTGTATTGTACCGATACGGAGTGTATTCAGTTCTTTGACTTTGTTTCCTGAGCACTAGAGTGGAACTAATTACTTTGACAAAAAGAAAATGTTACGATATGTTACGGTCAAAGTGGAAAACTGGCCTTAGTATC